CAGCAGCAAGCGGAGCTTTTACAACATGGTGAAAAATACGGCTGTTTCCGGATTTTATTAACTAATAACGCTCAAACAAAAGCCGAGCGTTCTCTTTGTTTCTCTTTTGGCATTTGGTCTAGTTATAGTTTAACAGGGACCACGCCTTTCTCACCAAGACTTTATCTTTTTGAGCCATACGACCGTTTAAAAGTAGAATTTCATGCACAAATGTGCCTTATAGTGTTTTAAAACTGAGCCCACCATAAATAATCACAGAGCTGCATGCTTTTAATTTGTAAAAATATGTTTCCTGACTTGATCTTTTATATTAAAGTCACTCCAGCAGATAGCATTTCCCTCTGTAGGTATGAGTGTCTGGTTCAGGGGTGTGCAATCCTGGTCCTCAAGAGCTGCTATCCAGCATGTTTTAGTTGTTTCTCTGCTCCAATACTCCTGCTTCCTGGATTAATCATCTGTTCAGCAGCTCCTCAGGCTTTGCAGCAGCCTGTTAATCACCAGCGGATTCAAACCAGGTGTGGTTAAGGAGAGAAACTATGAGGCCAGAACAGTCTCCATAAGAATTGTCACACAACCTTTTCCACAAATGCACATGTTCATTCGGAAATTCACACTCTTTGACACATAAATATAATGTGAAAAAATAAGTCACGCAACATTTTCCACAAATGCACACGCTAATTCTGAAGTTCATAAGAAACTACTAAAACCTGCTGGGTAGTGGCACTCTGGTCCAGTTTCTCATGCCTAACCCAAACATAATTTTTGCATGCTTTTAATTAAAACACTTAATTTACTTTCACTGTAACCAGTAAAAGAAATATGAACCCAGAATGCACAAGTCAATTGGAGGCCATCATAACACACACACACGCACGCACGCACGCACGCACGCACGCACGCACACACACACACACACACACACACACACACACACACACACACACACACACACACACACTGTTTAATGGGGCAGAAGTACTGGAGTGGTGGAGTCAGACATGCATCAGCAGAAAAACAGACACATGCATAATGTTAACTGATCTGGTCTTAAATTGGCTAGCATTGTGAAACCTATCCCCTTTATCTGGTGTGCATAACTTCCCCTTTAAAGCTGCATGATTCACGTCCTCTCTCTGAAACGCTGCAGGGGTATTTAACACCTTTCAGTCTTTCTGTTTTTTACTTTACCAAACTTTCCTGTAGTTCCTTCTGGTTCTGAGAGTGTGGTGTTTTTTTAAATACACAGTAATGTTCAGGTTGCAGACGGTGTGGATGATTCAGTATTTTATTTAAAACCATAACCCTTTCTCACAGTAGTCCTGCCCTTGCCAGTGAGGGTAACATGAGCCAAAGCACAACGGATTCAGTTTATTTCTCATCAGACGAAGAGTTTATTTATAAATCCTGGTTGTTTTGCATCAGTTTTAACCAATGTTATCCTTTAAGACTTGCTTTTTTCAATCTAAGTGCTTTTGGTTTTTCCATCTTCCAGACGTTATACAGTAATTTGGATAAAACCTTAAAAGAATGCTTCAGTTCCAGCTCATTCTCTCCTTATCCAGAGTCTCCAGTTAACCTAGCCCTAGGCTGGCACAGGGTAGCTTTAACCCCTACAGCCGAGTTGCTTACGTGTACGTTTCTCACTAGCTTGGTTGGGAAGTATTGGTGAGATTGTTTTGCAGCTAGAGAAGGAAGCTAGATGGTGCCGCTTCTCCTTCCATTGGGAGAAACAAAACAACCTGCAGGTAACAAAAGCTTCTGTGCCGGTGCGATCAGCCGATTGGCTGCTTCGCCCATCGCTAGCCTGGCTCTGTTCAACCAGTCAGTGCACTGAGACGTTGCACCTGTGGGTGCAGCAGACAAGCCTGATTAGTGCAACTTCAGGAGATCAGTTGATGAACAACACGTCTGAAGCTGAATCAGTTTCTGAACTCTGACTTTAACTGTTAACTTTGTGCTCGGCTCAGTGTTAGACACCTAATGTTATTAATGAACGTAAAAATATATTTAAATGAAATTCTGCAGCAGCACCGGGCGGCCCGAGGACGCTCCTGACTTAAAATCAGCTTTATTGCGGGTAAATATCGGCCAATCGACATATCGGTCTACCCTTAATTTAGACTTGGGTTTTTCTTTGAGTCAAGAGTAGATGGAGGTATTTTGTTTAGAAAAAGGATGTACTTGCGTCTTTGACGGTGAGTGGCAGACTGCCCTGTTGACTGATTTCCATAGCCATGAATACGTCACGTTCGTTGTTGCTCTGATTGGTCCTAGTCCTGTTCAGTTGCGTGCGGAGACAGTTGGACACCTGTAGCTTCTGCCTCATGCTGCATAGTTCTGATGGCTTTTTCAGTCATTAATGTTGACCCAACTCACACTATTGGGCCATTCCCATCTGTACCGGGTCGGCCCGGGCCGGGTAGCGTAGGTTGTTTACATATCTGGGTGGCCTGGTATTTTTCCGGGCCAACCAAGGCTCATTCTCAGCCCTCTTCTCGAGGGGGTCTGTTTCAGGCCGACCAGGGCCAACACACCCACTGCTGACAGCAAATTCACACCTTCCATTAGAGCAAGCCTCTGATTGGTGGGTAGAATCAGCCCACATGGGCTTAAGACAAGGATGTGTGGAATCAACCGGGCCAGGCTGGGGCCGACTGGGGCTACCCGGCCCGGGCCGACCCGGTACAGATGGGAATGGCCCATAAGTTGGGTATTTTTTAATTTATGCCACTATAATCCAGCTTTAGCATTTAGGGTGTAAAAAAAAAATATATATATATATATATATATATATATTGAAATGTGCAAAAATTGTTTAATTGACTAATAATCAACCAGTTTAGTTGGTTATGGGTCCACCTGCAACTCTGGTTTTTTAGCCAGTGGTTGATTAGGGGAGGTCTGCTTTATTACTTTAAGTGCTAATTCACGCTAGCAATAACCTATCGTAAGTTTGGACAAGCTTACTGTTTAATTTGGTAAGATTATTTTAAAACGTAAGTATTCTCTTAATTATAGGTCTGAGATGGAGTGGCTGCCGGTGTAAAAGCCTTTAACGCAGAGTTGGTGCTAGGGATGCAACAATACCACTTTTTGTCAAACCGATACGATACCGATACTTGGATCTGAGTACTCGCCGATACCGATTACCAATACCGATACTTCTACCACACAAAAAAATGCAATGTTTGGAAAACAGATTTTATTTTCTTCTCTGCTTTCAACAGGAAAAGACTGTGAGGAAAAAGTAAAATATATGAATGGAAATCATCACAAAACTAAAATATTAGGTGAACAGAAATGACAAGTTACAGTGAAGCCATTTTCAAGCAACTGCGTTGGTATCGGTTAACTTTTACCGATACCGACACTGGTATTGGTATCGGTGTCGATACCAATATCGGTTTCGACATTGATACCGATACTAGTATCGGTGTCGATACCGATACCAGTATCGTATCGGTGCATCCCTAGTTGGTGCATCTAAACATTTATTTTCTAAAGTATTTTAAAAGGGAAACAGAACAGCAAAGGTCATTCTTTGGTTAGGATGGTTCTGACCTTCGATCAGCCAGTGAAGTTTTCTTTGATTCATGGTAGACGGAGTTGGTCTGTCATTTGTCGTAAATGTCACTACCTGCACTGAGCTGCTGTGTTTCTCATGTGAGGAAATTCAATATTAATCAGAGTCAAATTCATCCCAGTAACACGCCGCAGATATAAACCCGCCACAGGAATGAAAGTTAGACTGTGTTTATTACCGCTCCTTCTTTTTAGTGAGTCCTAATGAAGGAATGAAGACAATTCGTTCTTATCTTTCACATAATATCAAGTTCGGATGATTTTTAAAGTGGTATCTTTGGTAATCTGCATGATTAACTTATTTTGGGGAAGTTCCAGTGAAGCTGCTTCATTGTTTCATTGAAGTTGCAGTGAAGGATGCTTCATCTGGAACTTCCTCCTAAATCAGTTAATAATCTATTAGGTTTACACAAATTTCACTGCTGAAGGTTTTAATTAAATGTTGTGATTACTTTTTAAACCAGTCTGCAACAGCATGCATTTGATAAGACCCTAAAGCAGGTTTTTAATGTGATGTTTTGTATTCGCAGAAATGATTGATGATCATTGACCAAGTAGACTGTGTTCTACATCAAATCAAGTTTCATAAAATGCAAATTATTCATTTTATTTCAACAAATTTGTGCATAACCGAAAAAAACAAAACATAACTCCTGGGCTCATGACCTGGAGCAAAAACGGTGAAATGTGCAGCTCTTACTCAGGCGAGTATTCAGTGCTAATATCAGAGTGCTGTAAGTGGTCCCTTATAGCCTTATGGGTATGTCAATTATTTATGCCTGGCACACAAAAATAAACGGCACACATATCTGTCCTGGCAGCTGTAGTGACGGTATCCATAAAACACGTAAGGACATGTGAATAGGTCTGATTGTGTGTACAGAGCAGGTGTCACTATTAAAATTGGATGTGCTATACTTGTGTGTATTTTGTAGGTATTTAAGGCTGTAAGAAAAGTTTTGATTCACTAATATTTTGTGATCTTTCGTGTTGGGTTACTGATATTAGTTTTTCTGTTGCCAGTACCGATGCCGTCATGTAGGAGACGCGATCAGCCGATGGCTGATATGTACTGCCAATTTTCATGGCTGATATCTAGATGTTTTCCACATCATCTTCCTGTTAAAACGTCACTAATATCAAAACTTCTGAAGCTGAATCAGTTTGTGACTTTAAATCGGTTTTACTAAGAGTACATATCAGCCGATGCCTAAAAAACAGTAAATATTGGCCTATCGATAGTTAGAACAAGTGCTAGACCGATATCGGCTGATGTGTACCATTGGCAAAACATTGTGAGCTGACATTCCTTTTTTGTAACTCGTTTTTATTTAAAGAGCAGGTTCATTGAGAAACTTGACTCTTGACGGGGAAAGCTGTTTAGTGTACAGGAAACCGTCTCAGCTAGTAGAGGCTAACTGTTAGCATTAGCAACTCCACCTCACAGCAAAACTCCTCCAGGCTTGTGTTATTTGTGGAGATGAAACATCAACGTTGCAGAGTGGTAGAGTCATGATGCTATTTGACAAAGGAGAGATGTCTGAATATCACAAGTATTTGTTTAAGTCTCCAAACTCCTGGGGTGTTTCTCAATATCAAGGCGCCTGGCCCTGCGAGGCGATGTCTTGCGAGGCCAGTCGCCTTGCTTACGAGGACACTGTCCTTCCTTCATCAAAGAAAACGGTTAAATGGAACAGACTTGCATCATGTGACCGCGGCTTCCACGGCGGTCACGTGACACGGGAGATAACGTTATATTTTATATGTAAAGGTTTCAATATAAATAATGAGCCTTTTACTTTTTAAATTGTGTATACCGGTATGTTTATTAAATTAAAAATGTAAGTGAGTTACTACCCGCTAGCCACCGAAGCTGCAACTACTAAGCAACTAACCAAAATAGATAACTTCTTTGGAAAACACTTTAAATTAGTTAACTTACTTTTAAACTTGAAATTTGCCCCCGAAGTAGCTGTCGGCTTTTGATCCGCCATTCTTTTGAAAATACCGCGGCGTATTCTGGGTAGTTTTTGACCAAGGCTACACTACAAGACACCTCCTGTGTATCCTTGCTCAGCTAGCTAAACGGCTAACAAACGGAGAACACATGCCTCGGTAGAACACAAACATTGGAACACTTCTTGGCGGCTCCCGATGACGCATCTCCTAGGCGGGTGGGGTCAAGACATCAAGGCGAGGTTCCTTGGCGTTGAGAAACACCCTTGTATTCTGACTCCAGCTCCTCTGGCTAACTTCTACTTCCTGAAACAGGAGCGCCAGAGCTTTTTTTTTTTTTTTTTTTACGGAAAATGACCCACATGGCATTCATTTATACCGGACACCAGTGCAAATGGAGTGAATAAGACCTTTAATAATAGGCTGTGCACAAAATTTATGACTCAAGTGTTGGTTGGGTTTAGCGTGGGAAACTGGTTCAGGTTCAAAAATGTTGTGCCTCCACTGTTATTAGTGACATTTTAGCATGAAAATGAGGTGTAAAATGTCTAGATGTCGGCCCTCACTGTGAACCCAACAGACCTGCAATAGAAAAATCTATCTGGGTCGATCTCTAGTTCCAGCTGCAGATGATCATTAAACCTGGTTCTGAAACACCTACGATCACACAGAAGCTGTTCGGTACAATGAAACAGCAGCGGTGTGTGACTCGCCAAAGCAACATTTCTGCTGACTGAGTGGGGTGTGGCTGTGCTGTGGAAACTGTTGCAGACCTGTCAAAGCTCTCCGTGAGCCAATAAACCGCTCTCTGCTCAGCCTTCTCGGTAGAGTCTTAACCCTCTGGAGGCAGGCGTTCATTAGCAGATTTGCAACGTTTAAACCTACCTACCTGGTTACTCCACATACGTATTTCATGAGCATTTTTTTAACTCAGAAGTACCCCTGAAGGACTTAGTTGTTCGTCCTTTTATCAAAACGTGTTTTGAGCCTGAGAGGGTTAAAACAGGAAGAGGTGGTGGGGTGTTTTTAAAAAAGTGATAAAAGGAGAGAGCAATGTCAAAAATAAACAGTAGTTTGAGTGTTGGATGGAGATGAAAGGCTGCTGAAGCACATGGGTGAGCTCTTTTTGTCGCTCCAATTCTGTCGGGAGGTTTTTATGGCACCAGTGACAGCTTACACTTTATATCCCCTGCTTAATTAAACAGTCAGAGAGCTTTTGCTTGTTCTGGCTGCCTTCATTGTGCATGAAGATTCAGACACAAACACATCTGTCAGCCGCAACGAGCGCAGACACAACCCTAGAGTAACCACACTGCTTTATTTAAACACCTGTCTGTTCGAGCTGCGGGCGGAGTTTGGGCGGGCTGACAGTTTGCCCACAGATCTTTTGTGACCTAACCCTGCAGTGTGTGTATTCCAAGAATTCATGTTTCTGGTTGTATGAAAGGAAAAGAGGAAGGGCTTGTTTTCAGCAGGCGCTGCTCTTGTTTGTAATGGAACAGGTAAAATATATCTGCATGGATTGTATTTTTTTCTTTTATTGACTCAAGTTGTTTTTGTTTTCCTCTTTAGGGCTCAGCAGCCGGTGGGAGGAGACACCGACATCCTGCAGCCTGTCCTCACCCCTGCATCCAGCTGTAGCCAAACCAACATCCTCATCTCTTTAATAATTAGTAGCTTCTTAATGGTGATTTGTTTCATTTTAATTCATCATTAGGCCTTGGAGCTATTTAATCTTTTGCATCTACCTAAGTGCTGGTGCAGTGCTTTTTATTAAAAGCTATTGACAACAGATCCCATCCTGATCTGCAAAAACCGACACATCCTCACAACAACATCCGGTAGACGGAGTTGACCAAATACGAGTTCAGGATGGTTGAGTCAGAGATTGTCGCCACGGGCATGGCCGCCAAGCTCCGGAGCCAGTGGGATCGAGACGATGGTCTGGGACAGAACTACAAAGCAGTGAAGTTTCTGGGTCAGGATTACGAGTCCCTCAAAGCCCGGTGCCTCCAGTGCAGGAAGCTGTTTGAGGATGACCTTTTTCCTGCTAGTGCGACATCTCTGGGATTCAACGAGCTCGGCCCCAGGTCCTCCAAGACCTACGGAGTCCGCTGGATGAGGCCTACGGTAAGAGAAAGAGGGGGAGGCCCCGGTAGATCTTTAGAGTGTTTCTGGAGATGCACGCCGGCATGATTGGATTGTAGGGATGTTGGAAAATATCGATACTTTGAAATATCGCAATATTCCGTGTGATTTGGGATGTAAGAAAACAATGACGCACAGAAATGTTGTAATATTTAGTTTAGGGAGGTTTGATATTGTCTTTCTGACCTATAAACCGATTATTGTCTGACTCTATTTCCGATACCATAAATAGACCAATACAGATATATCCTGTGTCCCCCTTTCATATAAAGAAAAACAAAAGCATCACACATCGCCCATCATGCATGCTTGTATTTTAACCATTATCTGTGCAAAATGGCAACTACTGTAATTTAAGTGGGTAGTAGTAAAAGCGCCATATTTATTTTGTCTCCAACAGCAGCTGAATCTCATTCTCCCTAAGCGTGACGCTAAGATGTTAAACTTGCCTTGCTTGGTGCCGATTGGCACAGCTCTGAAGATAATGAAGGGTCTGGTTTGATGCCCACAACGAACAGTTATATTTTGCTGCCTCAATTTAATTTTGTGGTCATCATTACTAACAGTAAAATAGTAAATGAAACAGCAGATGTTCATCAGCCAACAGGAGGTGTTGCATTAAGCAGTGTAATGACCTGTGGATAGAAGCTGTTGCTGAGCCACACTCCTTTAGCATCTACCAACCAAGTGTATTTTATGTTGCTGGGGTTAGCAACATCAAAGACAATACACTTGGTTTGTAGATGCTAAAGTAGTGTGGCTGCCTGCACACCCACAAGGTGCCCCTGCAGTGTTACCAGTAGTTGCTTACTAGAAAGAGTGCAGTTGCCACACCACGCTGTGACAAAAGGGGCGTGTTTCTACTTGCACAGGCCTGATGTTGGAGCACTGTGGGTTAACAAGGGCAAAGAACCTGTTCAGCTTGCTTGGTATTTGGCATTGTTTCCTTAGATCCTCTGCTGAAATATGTGATTCAGTGTGAACCCTGTCACATTACATTCAATTCAAATTCAATTCAGAGATACTTTATTAATCCCAGAGGGAAATTAGAGTTTCAGTACACACAATTCTGAGATCAGACGTACATACATCATAGACACA